GCATAACGGGGTACCGGGGCAATATGAGAAGGTGCATTTTATTCTAATCAGGTGTTGCTGTCTGGAATCGCTTCTGACAATTTAAACTTCGCTCGTTTGCCGCCCTTTTCTGGTGGACGCCGGAGGGAGGCGGCGTTGCTGAGGATGGTGGGTAAGGTTTTTTTCATGGTGCTGATGTATTTTTCAACATTCGTTTGGTAACTTCCTAGGTGAAAATCCGTTCGAGTAGGTTTGTCATAGTCAGTGAAAGCAATGACTCTCGTCCTAGCCAACCTTTCGCTGCGATAGAAAGTTGCCGGCTGTTTTGATAAACATGAACGATCCTGCTCTATTGCCAATGTCCTTCGGGGGTTAAAACGGGTTTCCGGTAGAGGCGATATGGGGTGGTGAATTTTACCACATTTTACCACATTTACCCCATTTACGTGCCCAGAAGTGCTTTTTTTGTTACAGTTAAAACTAGTTGCCTTTATTGGCCCACTCACGTTTCATAAATGCATTTAGAGGAGGGGTTGCGTTAAACGTTTCAAACGTTGTCATAATGTTTCTCCATTATAAGTAGGTACACAGGCACCGTGTATGTGCCTAATATATATTTTTGCCGAGATAAACTCTTTCATTTTCAGTAGCTTGGATCTTGGCTTAAGCGGCGAGTGCACAGGAACGTGCACCCAGCAGCCTGACACAAGTCCCAGATTTTCACCACGCCTTTTATCGTTTGTCGCAGTCCTCGAATGGAGTCGATGCTGGCGCCGCCACCGACCGTCCACCGCTGCAGCCAGGCGTCGCTCTCCTGAAGAAACTGCATGTGTTCTCCCACCGTTGCTGGATGGAGGCTGGATATCGCGCGTGGCTTTGAGCAGGGGTCGAACCGGGCGGAAGAGTTTAGCACATCGAGCAGGTCGTTGAGGCGCAGCAGGAGAGTAGCAGTCGGGAGTGCAGTGCGCGGGAGCTTGCCGTGGGTCGCATGCAATGTGATTGCTGCTGCTACTGTCCGGCTCATCACCTGTAGGGCATAGCTGACTTTCATTTTTCAAAGCTGTTTGGCCTGATGTGTTTCTGGCTTAGTTTTGGAGCAGCCCGTGGGAAAGAAGCGCATTCCAGTGTGTAGAGTGTTTCTAAATGACTCCAAGAGGCTACTTCACCGTCTACTTCAATATCGTATTTCATTAATGCATTTCGTATGCATTTGAAGATGTGAGGCACGCCATACAGAGCAGCAACCTCGTGCCCGTCCACGATGAACAAGCCGGTTTCCGCAGCTCCGAGCAGTCTGTAGGTCGCCTGGTTGTTCTTTGACATGTCACAAGTTGTAGCTAGCACAGTGAATCCCGCTGTTGTTGTTACACGTTGGACACACTGTGTTAACAGCTGCTGCTGCACAACGGCCTTGGTCGTTCCGGAACTCAGAAAGAAACCGATGGGCTGTTTCCAGCGTTTGGTGACACTGACGCCCCGCACCATCATGACCAAGGCGTGGTCGGCGCAGGCATTGGCGCGGCAGAGAGAGCCATGATCAGTGAAGCCCTCGATGACGTCATCACCCCGCTGGTAGGCCAACCTTGGTTTCAGCTGCATTTCGTCGAACGAAATGATGCACAGCTTGTCCTTGGCACTTGCTCCGGCGAACTTCTCTTTTATGAGAGCCAAGATAGCGTCATGAAAGCCAGGTCGCATCTGTATTTTTTCCATCTTCCCCCGCAGAGTTCGAGGATGGGGAAGGACGTACCGTTTTTGTAGGAACCGATACGCCCTGGGACCAAGGCCATATATAGTCCTGGGACCCTGAAAGTAGAGCGCGAGTGCTCGCACTTCCTCATCTTCATCAAATTTTAGACGAATTTCATCGAATTTCATTTAATTTTAGACCAATGTTAAAACTCTAATGCAATGAATAATGTATAAATGCTCCCGTAACAATGTGTGCTAAAAGTTTCCAATAAAATATACGGTTACCATTTCAAAGTCACAGTCACAACTTGGCCCTTGAAGACGAATCATTCGACGATTGTTAAGAAAAAATGTATGAAATGTTAAGAAAATATATGAAAATGTAAACCCACGTGGAAAGAAATTCATCCGCTTCCTCCGGATCTCCGGATATTCATCCGGCAAAATCCTTGATTTTTGGTTACACACGTGGCAATGCTAATCGAAGCTTCTGTCCATTCCATGTCGTAGACTATATATTCCGTGGTTAAAATCATGCCGTTTGGGGGGGGGGGGCAAATGCCCATTTTGCCCCCCCCCCCTGGATCCGCCACTGGCTGTAGCTCTATTGTTTCTTGAGTTGTGCGCCGGTGTTTAGAAAAATGTTGAAATAGACAAAATTTACCTTTGATGACCTTTGGTTACCTGACCTTTGACTTGACCTAAAAAATGATCATTGTATTTTCGTCCTGATTTTGGACGTTCTTTCGAATGCCGCTCACCGTGTGTCGCTACGTGGCCCAAGAGCCGAGTTAAAATGCCTGTTAACCCGCGCCCCGCTGGGGGGGGGGGGGCAGAATCTGCCCTCTCCCGTTTTTCGCTAATAACTTCTAAACGTGTTAAGCCAGCAACGTCAAACTTTCAGTACCTTATCATACATCAATTTGACACGTTCCCTGAAAATTTGAGCGGAATCTGTCGTTTTGTTTTAAAGAAAATGGCGCATCGAAAACGGCAAAATTTCAAACGCCGCTAACATCTTCATTTTTTTAGGGAATCAAGACGTAACAAAAAAGGTTGTACTTGATTCTATCTTTTCTATCAAATGACTATCTCGGTTTTTGATTTTTTTTTAATTTTTGGCCCAATTAAAAAAACTGACTGTGCTGGGCTGTGCCCACACGGGGCACGTGCTGACCGGCTGACCGTCTGTGACGTCAGAGGTCAGCGGGGTCACGGTGGAGGGCGGCCGGATCGAGTGTGGAAAATACAGAACGCAAACCGCAGCACGCGCGTGTGGACGTAGAGCCGGGACGCAGAGGGCACACTGGCTTTTTTGGAAAACAATTATACAATAATTTTTTTTGAGTGTATCGAAAAAAAAACGGATTATATGTCAGAGAAGTGGTTTACCTATGGGCACCTACATACCAATTTTTAGAAGAATCTATTCAAAAATGTGGGAGTTATTCAAAATTTTATGACGTCACGACACACAACATTTTTGAAAAATGATTTTTTGGACGTTCTAGACCTCGCAAGGAAACAAAAATAGCACCATTCGATTCGCCGTGAAAAACTGCATCAGATAGACACCTCTGTAGGTCTTAACAACCAACTTCAAAATTTGACCTCACTTGACCTGACCTTGACCTGACCTCGACCTGAAATTCATCCAGATGTAGTCCATATCACTTATTGAGTGTGTCCATTTAATTCTATGAATAAAATGACCCATAAAACATGTGTCGCACGTGCCCCTTTCTATATTTCGTTTTTGGTGACCTGACCTGACCTTGACCTTAACCTTGGCCTTGCATGATATTGTGTGCAACGAACATTGTCTTGGTAGCCTAAGAACACGTTTTGGGCAACCAGTCTCAGTCCATTCTTCGGCAACTACGGTGCAAGCTGGCCGATACTGTAGAAGCTTGCATTTTGTACCCTTGACCTGACCTTGACCTGACCTCTGACCTACTTAAGCAAAAAAATCGGCTCTAAAGATCAGCCTTGTTGAGAGCTTTCGATTGCCGTTTTCCCCGTCTTTCTACGACCATCGGTTCGGAAGTTAGACGGGGGGGGGGCAGAATCTGCCCCCCCCCCCAGCAGGGCGCGTATGGCTGAATAGCCCAGCGGGGCGTGGGTTAACCCTCGCCGGACCTATTGGTTTTCTACATACGCGCCGGCCGAGGGGGGGGGGCGGGTACGACCCCCCCCCTCGCCGTTTCGCCCCTGGTGGAGCTAGCGCGTCGCGGAAAAAACGAGCGTGTGCGCCGTTACGAGACGCAGAGATTGGTACCCGATTTTAAGGTCCTAGGTCAACCGGTGACCTCTGAGGTCAGGTCAAGTGCCCCAAGGTACGGTTCAGTTTTTGGTCAATAACTTCGCAAAAAACGGCCGCAGAGCGCCGATTTTGGCAGCATCGTGTTCGTCTCGCTCAGGCGCGTCGAATGATATACTTTTTGTCCGGGTCAGGTCAACTTGGGGTGTTGACCTCAGGTCAAGGTCAGGTCAGCACCCCCAGGTCACGAAGTTGGTCGAAAGAGGTCATGTCGCATATCATTCGATTCGGCAGATCTTCCTGAGTCCATTGGTGGCTTTCCCGACTCGCTAGCTTAATTTGATCAAGAGTTATTGACGAAAAACGAATATGACCTTGATGACGTCATAAATGACGTCACGCAAGGTCAACATTGCAAAAGTGACGCATCTAACCTTGCAAGGAGTCCATCAAATCACGATTCTGTGTGCTTGAGATAGTTGGAGATCGTTCCCGGCGCCAGAATAGCAGTTTTCATTTTTCCCCATTGACTTATAATGGTGAGGTCACGAAAATGACCTGACCTCATATGACCTTTAGGAAAAATCCGAGATATACAAGTTGTGGGACTCATAATGGATACTAGATCCTGCAAGTTTCATTTCCCTGTGACATCTCCTCTGGCAGTGAGGGCGTTGCAAAGTTGCGACATCTGAAGACCGTGCAGAGGTTCACTTATGACGTCATAGGTCAGTGACCTGACCTGACCCAAAAATGCGGTTGGTGTCAAAAGATCCGGCTTGGATCAAAGGTCAGGTATGCCAAGTTTCAGCTCTCTATCGCCAGCGTGTTCGGAGCTATCGCGAAAAAATCCTATGGGGGGGGGGCGGCACCCGCCCCCCCCCCCTCGGCCGGCGAGGGTTAAGACCCCTCCCCCCAAACCCCTTCAGCCCGGGCCCCGGCGTGGTTGACGCCGAGCACCGGCCCGGCGCGGGATAACAATAAATGATTTGTCTTCCTGGACATTAAGACGGCGGGTTTCATTGCGTGAAATGAACCCTGCGTTCCAAATTCACGCATCAGAAAAGGATCACAGTTGATGACATTTATTTCACAGAAACCATTCATCAACTATTGTATCTCTTCCACTCTCCGTTGACAGAACTGTAACAGAGATGACCGTCGTATTTCATATTTGCAGCTGAATCACTACCACATGGACTTATTGGACAGGCCCCATTTATCTCTATTCTTTCCGATACCGGAGGAACGCCTCTGGTTTGTCAGGCGATGTCAGCCTGCTTTACATCTGTCAGAGAATGCACCCACGTATCTCGGCGACACTCGGTGTGCAAAATGCGCCGGGCGATTTTCTCAGCCTGAGATTCTGAACTGCACGACTCATAAAATAAAAAGCATCACCATAAAATTACTGTGGATTTCTCTGGGCGGCGCTGCGCGGCTCGGCGCCTCCACGCCCTCAGGACCTTACAGGAAGCTTTCCACCGTCTGACACCAGACTATGAAACATTGATTCTCAGCAGGTTCTGGCATTTTGTGCTCTGTAGAACCACAGCCTCGATAGAATAAACGGCATTGCTTTTGCGCCTGTCTCTGGCCTCACGTCACCATAACATAGTTTCAGTCCACACTGTGCGGTTTCTCCACATCACGGTAAGCTGTTTTGGTCCACTGTGCGGCCGGTGTCGCGTCGGCTCACTTTCATCTCGTCGGCTCAGTCCACCGTAGCTCAGTTTCGGTCCACTGTGCGTTTGTTATTCCGTCTCGTCTGCTCAGTTTCGGTCCACTGTGCGGCTGATCCAGTTGAGGTAGGTGTCGATCTTGGTGAAGACGGCCGGATAGTTGGGATCGGCGCAGCCCTGGCCGTACGCGCCGATACCCATCACCTCCCAGGGTCCGGTGCCGTTGGCGGACTGGCGCATCAGAGGCGTGCCGCTGTCACCCTGCAGAGGAAAATATCGTGTCAGGGGCTGTCAGCTCATGTCTCATGACACAGGGACAGGGACAGTCAGATCATGACACCTTGCCGATGTTTGTCCCATTATGACACCGTGTCTGTCAGGTACTCACACTCGCTTCTGACTTCTGAGTCAGACAGATCACGCCGCTCTGACCCGTTTAGGTGTCAGTCAGGTCATGACACCGTCACGGCAGTGTCAGTCCGGCTACGATAGATTAGACACGGCTGTGTCAGAATGATCAAATGTGTCAGTATGGAGATAAAAAATGGGACGCGTTATGCGGAGAGAAAATACAACTTAAACGGTTGATTAACAGCAGTCTACCAATAATAAAATTTCAATACTTTCACGAGATCCATTCTCGATCAGTTTTTAAAGCCGCTTTCAGGATCGGGATTGCAACATCTGAAATCACATTTTCTGCGTCTGGACGCCTGCTTTTCATTGAGTGCTGCAGCCGTCAGCTGCACGCCTCCTCGGGGCGACATTTATAAACGGTCTGCGTGTTCCGCGGCAGCTGTTTCAGGCGCCCACCTAATCAGAACCGCCGGCATCGCGGTACGCTTTTCCATCCTAACGCTCCTCCATTGCCGTACCAGTCAGGCGCAGCCCTCCACTCCATCTCAGCGCTATCCCTGCTCGCCGCCCGCCCCGCACCCGCCGCCCCGTGTACGGCGGACCCCTGCCGCCACCAAGTCGTCAGATGCGCTCATACCCACCACACATACACACACCAGAGTGGTGGTAGCAACACATTAGCTGGGGAGCCATGATATCTCGGAAACCATTAGCGACAGGACACAGAAGCCAAGCCCGGAAAACTATCAGCAGGGGTGTGGTAGCGTGAGACGAAAAAGAAAAGAAAAAAGACCATAGTCTTGCTTTTGTAGCGATGGCCGTGACCTACGAAAATGGGTTGTACGTAAGGCGGCATTATTATACAAGTATTGGGTGAAAGAAAGAGGAAGTATCTACCAAAAGAGGGCAAACTGTTAACCCTCGCGGGCCCGGGGGGCGTTTTTCGCCCCCCCCCTCCTGGCGAATATTTGCGATAACTCCCGAACGCTTAGGGATAGGAAGGCGAAACTTTCAGTACCTTTTTTCCCATCAATTTGACATCTTCTGAAGTAAAAAATTTGGACCTAACCCCCTTGATGACGTCACAAGTTCCATTTTTCTAGACCCCTGTACGGCAAACTTCGGCGTCACAGACGCAAACTTCAAATAGCTGCTAAAAATAGAGTTTTAGAGATAAAGACAAATTACGAGCACGGCTGTGTAGCGTTTGACCTAGAGAAAAATAGAAAAATAGTTTTGGTGACCTGAGGTCAGAGGTCAGGTCAACGACCCCGAAATGTGGTTTTAGTTTTTCGCAAATAACTTCGACAAAAATGGTCCTAGAGCTACGGCAATGGTACCATCGCATTCGCCTTGTCAAGCCGCGTCGAATGATATATATTTTGTTCGGAAAAGGTCAAGTTTTATGTTGACCTCATGTGACCTCGAATGACCTATGGTTGACCTTGACACATGAAAGGTCGTTTATGATGGATTTGTACCCGCTGATCACGAATCTGGCATCTATTTTCCTCTAAGCCTTCATTTAGAGCTTCCGGATGGCAAAATTGTCTTATTTATTATTACTAACTTGAATCAGTGAAATAGCCTCTAGCAGGGATACTCTTCTGTGACCTTGACCTTTGAGCAGCCTTGTATCGTAAGATGAACCACAAATAGGGAACTGATAAGCCTCAAAACATTTCAAAACATCTTGGAAGTTAGCACGCAAGATGTGCGAAAAAGTGCCAAGTTTGAGGTCAATTTTGAGCGTGACCTTGACCTTGACCTTTGATTTGGAGCACATTTTCAGAATCCTCAGATTCTCTTCTTTCGTTTGACACCCAATTTTGTCGGTTTGATGCAGCCTGCCGTCCTCTAGAAGGCTTACTTTGAACACATGTGCCGGTTTTGGCCTTTGACCTTGACCTCTGACGTTGAAAATTGACCTGAAGTCAAAAATTTTAGGTGCATTAGAATCGTCTCGTAAGGACCTTTCGTTTGGTATCGCTTTTGTTTCCGTAGCTCCCTTATTTACGGAGTTAGACAGGGGGGGGGGCGAAAAACGCCCCCCCCCCCCGGGCTGCGGTGGTTGGGATTACCCCCCGGGCCCGGCCGGGTTAAATTGATTGACAAAGTCCTACAGCTGCTGTGGTATTTCTTGATGCGGGACTTTTTATAGTATTTTTTTATAATGACCACTCAGTATAATGATTACCTTGCACGAGTCGATGCCAGAGTAGTCGAAGGCGCACAGCATGCGGTAGGTGATGGTGTACTCGCCCTTGTAGGAGGCCACACACTCCTGGTGGGAGCTGAGCTCGGCGCTGGAAAAGTGCATCACCCGCCGCGGACGACCCGCTGAAACGAGGCGGGGTCAAGGGTCAGGAGAGAATGAAGGTCAACCGAATACCCTACTGCCTGCACTGCTGAAACAAGCCGAGGTCAAAATGGTTAGGGCAGAATGCGGGTCAACCGAATACCCTACTGCCTGCCTTGCGCCTGCTGAAACAAGCCGAGGTCAAAATGGTTAGGGCAGAATGCAGGTTAACCGAATACCCTGCGGCAAACTAAGGCATGCATTGTTCAGATATTGTTATAATCGTTAGTTTAGTATGGTATTCAATATTCATAAGTCATGGGTCATGGCGCCTCGCATTTAAATGCTTTTGTAATTTGAAGGTCAAACTATTGTTCATCCTTTCATACTTTAAAAGATTACCAGAGAGGGCAGGCAACCCTTCTGCAACCGATATGAACCTCATTTGAACTATTTAAAATCCTCTGCAAATATGCTGAAATAGCTCACCTATGTTTTGCTATAAAGCAATACAATCTCTTGTTCTAGAATAGACGTAGAATAGTTTCTGGCATGCTGTTATTTCATTGCTACATGAAATTGCTAAAAATGGCATTCATAAGTGGCGGCCGCCTTTATAAAGAGCCACATTACATTACTGAATATCACCTCGAAGCATGTTTGATTTGAATGCTTTTTTTAACCCTCGCCGGCACAGGCCATTTTGCGTCCTTCGACGGCACAAGGGGGGCTGGTTGGTACATACGACCCTCCCTCGCGTTTGGCCCCTGATCGAGCTAGAGCTTCGCGGAAAAACGAGCGTGTTGCCCGTCACGAGAGGAAGCCGATGATACCCAATTTTAAGGTCCTAGGTCATCGAGTGACCTTCCAGGTCAGGTCAATGTCCAGAAAACCGGGAAAATCGGGACCTGTTAGCCCGCGCCCTGGTGGGGTCTGTTTATAACGCGACCTGGTGGGGGGGGGGGCTATTTTTGCCCCCCCTCGTATCTCCGAAACTACTGGACGGATCCGAAAAATTCAAACGGCGTTCGAAAGGCCTGTCAAATTTGTCGAGGGAAACCAAATTTTATTGACCTCGGGGTCACCGATGACGTCACAGGTCAGGTCAAAGATGAAATGTTTCACCGTTCACGGGTCTTCTAGGGAATGCGCTATAACACCGAGGAAAACGCATTTTGTCGGGAATCAGCGATAGGGCGTCAGTTGCCTAGTAGATATGTTGCTGTTAGAGGTCACTGGTCATACCAGGTCAGGTCACAGGTCAGGTCACCAAGGGTCACCACATGAACCCAACTTTACTAAGGTTATGCGATGCATGTTTTATGGCCAGTTTTTCATTTCCAACTCAATGGTGTTGGTTATAAGACCATCAGGTACGGTTTAGGTCACTTTCTGGTGTAGGGCAGGTCAAGGTCAGGTCAAAAAAGGTCAAATTTCAAAGTTGATATTTTTGCATAAAATGGGTATTGATTCGATGCAGCTCGCCACGGGGAGTCTAATGGTGCTCTTTGTTTTGCGCTACGAGGTCTAGAATTGCTGAAAATTGAGTTTGAAAATTTGACGTCATCAATTTTGAACAGTTTTTTCGCTATAACTTGGCCAAAAAAAGAGGTATCGATCTCAAATTTGGTATGTAGATAGAAGGCGGTAAGGACTATCACATATATTCCGGTTTTTTCGAAATTCAAAAAACGTTTTGGATTTTTTGGCTATTATATTCAAAAAATCTATTTTTTGATTTTTGGGGGTCAAAATCCAAAAATTTCAAAAATCCGAGATAGCAGTTTTGTAGCCCTGTCCATTCTACAGCTTTTATGTTTGTATCATTTTTCTGTATTTGCAAAGCTATAGGCCTGACAGCTCTTCCCGCGAAACCCTTTTTTGGGTCGAAAACGGCAGAACATGACGTCACTCTGACGTCATTTCCGGCCAACCTATCATAGCCTTTGGAAAAATTTTTGGTCACAATGTGTAAAATTGATGTCCGGGAGGGTACTGAAAGTTTGGTGACGATCGGCGCAGTGGTTCTGGAGATATATCGAAAAGTCTGGAGGGGGGGGGGGGCAAAAAATAGCCCCCCCCACCAGGGCGCGGGTTAGTTAGAAAGTCGTAAAGTGTGGCTGCTATGCGGTTTTTCGGGGTGCTGATCACGAATATCGTGTCAGTTTTGATCAGAGATGATGTCTTTAAGCATTTAGACCAGGTCGGGTCAGGTCAGGTCAGGTCAACCGGTAGGGGTTGTGACGGGTATTCGTAATACGTGTCAACTGCCTCTGACAGCTTCGTAACATGTTACGAAGGCACCAAAACTACTTCGTAAATGTTCAAATGGTTGCTTAATTCGAATTCAGCTCCAAAAACTAGCCTAGAAACATGTAAAACTCGAAAAAGTGAACTGAGGTCACCCGAGGTCACCAAAGGTCAATGACCTGGCCTGACCTTCAGGTGACCTTGACACCCACCATTATGTATGGGAGCAGCATCAAGTCACATGTTTGAACGTTTGAAACCACGAAAAGCTTGCAAACGCGCGGGTAATGCGAGCTGACATACGCCGAGTCGCGATTCCGACCAAACATGGTCTCGGAAAAGAGGTCACAGGTCAAAGGTCATTTGGGTCAGGGTCATAAAATTTTCAGGGTTGGTGTAAAATTGATTAATGCGAGCGTACTGAAAGTTTCGTCGCGATCGGCCGCTTTTTACGCGAGTTATTTGCGAAAAACCTTATGGGGGTTGCATCAACCCCTCCCCCTGTGCTGGCGAGGGTTAATGCATTCAAGAAATCAGACTATCCCAATACATTGACATTTTGCAAACTATATGTACTATATATATATATATATATATATATATATATATATATATATATATATATATATATATATATATATATATATATATATATATATATATATATATATATATATATAGTACATATATATATATATATATATATATATATATATATATATATATATATATATATATATATATATATATATATATATATATATATATATATATATATATATATATATGTACTATATGCACGCGCTAATTTTACGTGAGCAACGGGCATACATAGCATAACACATTGATAGTTTTGCTTCATTACGTTACGCATTGCTCATATAATCCTGCTGATAATTTTCTCGAAAAGCAGACTTCTGATTGCAAATAACGAAATAAAAGCATAGGGGAAGGTGGGGTAAGACGGACCAGCTAAGGTTTGAGGCCGTATATCTTGCTACACTGCTCTCGTAATTCATATTATTTATAGTCTTCGGAATGCTCAATCCTTCCTCTGTTGATATGTGTAAAGACTAAATTTCAAATTGAAGACATCTAGGTGGTGGATGCTCTTAAAGAGGGACATGTCAAAAACTCAGACAAGAAAAAACGTGGGGTAAGACGGACCACCCAGCAGTGCCTGCTATCCATTCATGTGTGTTATACGTCTGCTCTGTACTCTTGTAAGAAAAAGTAGCCAGAATGGTAAAATAACCAAATGAGCCTTTATTCTTTACTCATGTGTGATGGAAGTGCAGCTAAAAGCTGGGAACATGTGTATTGATTGTCGTTTGGCATGAATGCATGCTAACTGAGCACTTGCATGCATGGCTCACATGCAACAAAGACTCCTTCCTGAAAAATTAGCTTACTTAAACTTGTGTCAATGTTTTGGAAAAGAACTTTCCATATGCAGGGTACAATGGACCACCACAGGGTAAGATGGACCACAGTGGTCCGTCTTGCCCCAAATCTAAATTCTGTCATTATCATGACGTATATGTCAAATAGCCCAACACTGCAAAACCTTGCCTTTCCTGAAGTGTGACTATAACTAAGTTTATAACTTTGTTCTTCACAGTTAAGTGCAAAATAGAAACTAATCATGCAAGAAAGGCGCCGTAATTGAATCACCCGTAGACCTCTCATATTAGATCGGTTTGACGAAAAACAACATTTTTCTCAATAACTCAAAAGCTATGCATCCTAACAGCATGAGCTCAAGGTGGCCATTGTTACGAAGGAAAACAAACAGTGAGTGCATAAAGCAGTAGATACCAGCAGCGGTTCAGCCGGGAGGGCTGGTGGTCCGTCTTGCCCCGCTGGGCCGTCTTACCCCACCTTCCCCTATACTAGAATTAAGTTACATGACAGCTCTTAGCATCAATATTTTCCGGTTAACGTTATGGCACCCATTTCAGACGACGGCTGCTCTGCTTAGGTAAAGTGACCCTGTGACTTTGACATATATCTTTGTAAGGTCACGTTATAAATGCCTTCCATAAGAGCCAGCTGACCTTTATTACACGACCGCAGATGACGCCAGGAGCCTGGCACTTTGAAACTCATGAATATATGCATGCAAATTGCCGCCTCATACGGGGAATCCCAGGGTTCAAGAATGCTATGCCTCGTTGGGTTGGGTGTATGTTCAACGAATACATATATAACTACGTCCACAGCCTGCAGGGTCAGCCGGGGCTATCTGAACAGCTTCGCGAGCCATCAATTGTTATAGGTTTCCAAACGGCATATGGTAGTGTCTTGTATGGCTTGCCGCCTGTATAGGCATAATGCGTATAGGGCAGAAGAAATTCTTTCGTGGGTGCTGGGATTGACAATATAATGCTTTATCCGGAATATGTGAATCCATATAAACATGTGGCCAAAGGCGCTCCAAATGGACCAACACAAATGGTATATTATATTAGATACAATGCTACCGCGCGACTGAAATATAAAAGTAAACTGTGCATTGTGCAACCGTCAGAGATGTTGATTAAGTCCAGCATTTGTTTTCTAGCGGCAGTTTAATTGCCAAGAAGCTACCGCAACATAACACTTAACTTCTGTTCCAATGCGAGCACAGCACTCATACTTCCCGAGAACTTTTCTCCGGGCAAATAACTTGGTAAGTCGTAAACGACGAAATTTCCAGGAACTCGCAACTTGGCTCGGCAGTGGTGCATTTAACTCAACAAAAGAACCACTCAAAGAGTCGCAGCTTAACTCATCCCTCCCGTCTGCCCGCCCAAGAGCCACGGTGGCTGTCTCAACGCGGTCCTTTCGCAGTACCGGTCTCTAATCAGACGACAGACGTCATAATGACTTCCATTCTGATAACAATTGAGGGAGCATTGCGCAGTGAACTGGCTATAGATGCGCATTGAAGAATTTCACTGGTATAGAAAAGAGAAAGATTTACCAATGTCTGTTTGGTTTCCTGGCCAAAAACCGAGGAAAGGTGTGGTCATTTTTGGCGGGGAAATGGTCAATTTCTGAAAGGAAGTCGATTTCAAAATCCATTTCGTACCTACTTGTAGGTATGTATGGCTGGTTAGCATACACTGTCCTAGAAAGAAGTGACGATTATAAATGGTGATCGCGTTTCTTCCATCCATGAGCTGCTTTTCGTTAGTAGCTAATAAAAGACGTTGTTATTTTTGTTGCAAGCTGGAAGCTGGAATGGTTTTTGTCAATAGTGCGAACTTAAATGATAATGAAGTAGCAACCTTGTTTTGCAATATAAGCTGCATCATGCATGTTACCAGCGCCCAGCACCCAGTAAAACGAAAGCCCATCCCTTCTCCCATCAGTGGCCGTGGAGCTGAGATCGAGGTGTGTTACGAGCTAAGACCGGGGCGGCTCACAATGGGCCATCAGCGCGGCAAACAGAGCTCGCTCGGGAATATGGCGGCCCCGTAAACAGGGTCGCTGAAACCACCCGCAGAGCCGCCCGTCTAAGACGTCCGCCTGCTACCTTCACTGTTTCGAGACCGGCTGCCGATGGAAGGGGAAGTTGGGGGAACGCCGAATACTTTTTTTCTGACGCCCGTAGCACGCAAGGTAGACAACATAAGCTATTCTTGTTGGCGTCATTCGAGAGGCCAGTCTTTTGCCTTTCAAACATACCAGGCGCATTTGATGAATTCGCATACCGTTAAGCGCACAAAATAAAAATATCAAAGAAGTGACTTTTTCGGCGTTGCCCCGGACTGCGGGGAAAGCCGAAAATGGGAGAAATGATCTACGGGGAATGCCGACATTGATGTTTTGCCACTTTATCTCAAACTTTATCCAGAATTTATCAAAGCTGACACGCGTTTTAAGAGCTTGAGGACGCTTGGTGCACACTGGAAGTTATAATTGTGTGATATAATAAGAAAATGCCAGGTAAATAATTCCTTATAGGTAACAGGCCGTTGTGTCGGTTGAAAGTGTAATTTGTGTGACTAAAAATTCGCGTTGCTATTCTACAGCAGTAAAGTCCACGTAGCGTGCTTTAACGTGCGTAATTGCACGTTTTCGGCATTACCCCAGCCAGCCATACTTTCATTTGCAGGCCCATAAGTTTTCAACGTGCCGTATAAATTTCAAATAGGCAGCACACTAATGCCAAGACATGCTGAAGATTACTTGACCGAATTGGCCAGACAAACGGTAGCATAACGAGTAAGAAATGCAGCTTCAAAGGCGCATGTAGTACAAGGAACGCGTACCTTGAAAACGCTCTTGGCGCCCTCACAGCCAAAGTATTCCGAATGACGACTCGTAACAAACATGCGATAATTGTAGTCACTTAAGCTTCAGAGCATCACTGACAGGTGGCATCCATGTCTTACGGTTTTCGAAATATCTCGAATTTCGGCTTTGCCCCAACTCCGGCATTGCCCCAACTTCCCCTAAGCCCTTTCCGAAGATGGGATTTTCGTCACGAATAATGCTACTTTCCCAGACCAGCTACGCATTCTGTTGGGAATTAACCACGGTACCTATTTTGTGAGAAAATAATGTGTTTTATAACTGTCTTTGTTTTTGGCGTAGGTATCAGTCCGCTATGTCAGTAGATATGAGCTTCATGAATCACGGACACGTTTAGGCCTTGATCTCGGGCATCGCCCTGCCTTTGCGACAGATCGATTCCTCGAGGCTCACAGGGCGTGCCGAGTTTTACTAGGTGAGCGGCCCTCTAAAGAAGTTGATTGAACTTTTTAATCTTCATCCTGCTGGTAGAGCAGCTTGAGAGCTCTTAATTAGCGTTCCGTCTTCAAAAAGGCAATGCGCTCAGGTCTCAAGGGGAATCGGTGTTTAACCCGTACATATAGGTATTCACGAAACCATGACTGAACTGTACCTAAAGTAAAATACAGACCGTCATATTGTAGCGGGGCTCAGCTGCAAGATATTTTAGATTTGTTTGCGAGGCAGGCCCGTCACTCCCTTCCTCAGACGACACGGTTAATCGGCATCCGGGTCCCGGTCCCCGCTGAAATTGTTGGTCGGAGAGGAGCCGTCCTCGCTGCTGGTGTATATCTTTTTTTTAATTTTGATGTGACCGGTTGGCCATCTTTGGGTCGGTGTGCCGTGGCCGGGAGCCGGCGTCCGCTTGGAAAATGAACGCGGCAGCGTTACAATATCAACCGCATGTTATGCTTATCCTCGTACTATAGCCTGAGTAATGTGTTGTGAGGAGGAAGGCGAGGCAGGTCCTTATCACTACATGTCACAATTTAGATCCTTCATGGATTTCCTTGGTGGATCCCAGAATGATACCAACATCGGGTTTATCTATACTGCAAGCCTGTCGGGTCATGTGAAATCCTCTATAGATACGAGTATTCACATGAACAAGTTGACCATCTTATAGCAGTGCCGTATACAATCTACATTCCCTGCCATATTCTCCATAATGACATACATGCCATATATGCCATAAGTAAATTATGTACATTCTCCGTGAACTCACTGTCTCTCCGGAATCCCCATCCGGCAATGAGTGCCTCCTTTTCCGCCAGCGAGTCTCTTCGCTCCGTCTCCAGAGGCAGGCAAATAGGCCGGATCACATCTGTCAAATGTCGGGAACGATCGCACGTCAAACGGTATGACGGCATGAGTAAAGGGTTCACAGGGTTCGGAGCTTTTTGTAAAGTAATCTTGCAGAGCTTCAAATGGGTGGATGAGTGACACGAAACCCACACTGGGATATGATATTGGTGTTCTGCGAAGTGATCATGGAGCTATACGCTTCGCTGTCAGGACGGTACCGAGTAAACCTTTGACCAGCCATGAGAGGAACACGCTTCATTTGGAACTTCATGTCATGCGGCATACGAAATAGCTATATACTCACATCAAATATGCTAAACCACACTCCATACGTGAGCTGCTGCGCTGCATATTGCCTCTTCGAAGTATTTGCATTGGAGTATATCCTCAAGTTTCGTAACCAGCGAAGAAAAACAGCGAGCGAACTAAAAACATGTTTGAGTTCTGTGAACTATCCCAGCAGCCCTTCCTAAATGCAGAAGTCTTGAAAACCAGCATACATAGGTATATGCAGTTATGTATGACTTGTAGTTAACATTTGAACCACTGCTATGCCCCAGTGTTCATACTTAAACAGAAGCCACCCCGCCCCACCGTGTCCTCACCGTTCCTGGGAGCCCGCCGGGCCAGCTTGATGAGGCCGATGTTGTGGATCAGCTCAGTCTCGGTGCCGCGCTGCTCCAGGTAGTCGGGGTGACGGATGGCGTCCACCACCGGGATGACGACCGGCGGCACCTCCTGGTCGTCAACGTACGCCGCCATCACGTCAATGTCACCCAGACGCGCCTCCACGCTGGGGAAAGGGGCATACGTAGGTAGGCATGTACCTTTATCTGTCAATCGGCAATTCTGTGTCATTTAGTCTGTGTGAATTGTCAATAAAACTACACTCTTTTAAGCTCAATTTTGCCGAGTGAATGCAGCCACCATCACTACTTCCTGTGTCCAATACAATATAACGCCATCAAGTGCTGTGCTAAAAACGAGTGGCCATATTTGCGGCAGTTCCCTATCGGTTTATTGCCACTCCAAAGTCCGCGTCAAACCAACAAATCTAGGGCACAGGCTCAAACAAAGACCTTAGGGTATCCGCGAGCAGCACTTTCATGTTACCGCGGAGAGTGGGCGATCAAATGTCTCGATCACGAGAACTTAAAAGGCTTCAGAGTTCAGTTGTGAAGCCCCTCGGCTACATGTAGACGGTAAGTGAAACCCGGGTTGGACGCACCGCTAAATTAACAGCAGCTTTTACCGTAAGGTTGGAAGAAAGCTAAACGAAAATGCGATAAGTTGCAATATACTTTGTTGGTTGGCTGGATGTGATATGATAAAAATACTGGTCGGGAGGCATAGGAAAATTGCATTAAATCATAAAATGATATTTGCCATCTGATTTACTTTTATCACTCAGTGATATTGTATCATGATTGATTCTAGCTTGATGCTCGTTAGGCATGATAATCGTTCTATTCAAGGACATTTGCGAGACTTTGATTTATAAATGACCAAACCACAGCCACACTTCTCTGCCAGCGCATTTCCATAGCTTCCATAAATATAAAAAAATGATTTTTTTCGCTGGTAACCACTCGCAAACTGCAACTTGCATATAAATAAAAACGAACCAAGCATGCTACTCTACCATGGCTACCACTAAATAAAAACCCCTAATTCACTGGTCACAAGAGCAGGTCGATAAGCAACACAATTATCCGAGTCCAAACTCACGGTCCGCGTTGTTTGATGCAGTGCGCGGCCGTGAGCACCCAGAGGTCGTTGATGAGCACTCCGGAGCATCTGTAGACGACGCGGCGCCGACGCCGGTATCCGAGGGCAACCATCCAGGGCAGGTCACCCTGGTACTCCACCTGGCGAGCGCCCACCGTCCTGAAAGGAGGAGCGGGCAGACGAGGTGGATCAACAAATGTGACCCCGAGCAGGTCGATGGGATGGAGCCGTTGAACGCGATAGATCAAGCGTGCGGAGACAGAGAGTGCACCCAAAGTATTGCAATGATTATTACGTGAATCTGAAACAGCTGACGCTAAACATATACTGTTTCTTAACAGTCTATGATTCACATGCGCGTTAAAAACGCACGCGAAAATAAGCTAGATAGGAAATAAATGAAAAGCGCCCTATCCCGCTCACCATTCCTGTGGCAGGTTGCTGCGCCCGCACTCATTCTCCCTCAGGTTGCTCGGCAGGTTTTGCGGTTTGACCGGCGGCGTGGTGGGCACAGTGTGGGACGGCGGCAGGGTGGGAGGGGTCGGGGGCGTTGGAGGGGTGGGAGGCGTGTGGTCGGGCGGCAAGGTGGGCGGCGTGGGCGGCGTCGGTGGGATCCAGCCCACGGTGGGAGCGGTGGGAGGAGTGGGAGGCGTGGGAGGTGTGGGAGGGGTGAAGTTCGGAGGGTTGGTGGGTGTCGCCGGCAGATCTGCGGGCAGAGACAGAAATGGGAGTCAGTTGCTGAGCGTGTTCTTGTGTTACATCCGGTGATACACGACGAGAAATGTCAGTGATTTGTGAGCATGGGGCCGTATTCACGTCGACTTCGTAAGTCGATTTTCTTTCGTAAGTATAATTTGGTATTCACGTCGACACTTCTTAAGTTTTTATCGATGGAGTTCACGTGATTAAAAAAATTTACTTAAGAAGCAGGTCAAACTTAAGAAAATTCTTTCGAAAATGATCGACGTGAATACGGCCCATGGTCTATTTATCCTGACAGTAAGCCCAGCCTTTGTAAAATATGTAAATGACCTTTACATATACGGACAAAATAATATCGAAATGTTCCTCATGTGATGCTCGTCGAGCATATTGCATATGCATTCAAGCCCTGCAGGCTGGCGGAACGTTATCTTAAAGTTTTCAGAATATCCTGTTAGCCTTATTAGATTGCTAGTTTCAAAATGCTAACGTCTGCGAAGTACCGAACAACATTAGGCAAACGAGTTCAGACGAGAGCGATCGATGCTACGACTATTTTTGTATGCTAAAGCAGAGGAGCACCCATCAAACTCCTCAAATGAGTGATTATTATTGTTGCCAGAGATCTCAATTGGGCTGAGAAGCAGTCGCTCCACTATAGTCGGATCACTTGACCGGGTGTTGATGCTAGAGAGTGGCACATTTACAAACGTTCAGTCACACAATATGGTCGGGTTTAGCCTTTTGATCGCTAGTTCGGTTAGTTCCGACTACCAACTTCATACTATTGCTGTTCGTTGGTTACCTAGCGAGGACCCTGTGTTACTGGGGTTAGGGTTGACATCTGTCTTTTTTTGGGATATGGTCGCTGATCTTGATAGCCCAATCGATGGTCGCGATCATTTCATTGCACATATAGGTATTTTATGAATGCACACATGCCTTGACGAGACAAGTTACAACAGCTAGGAACCTCTAGGAACTACCTCTGGCAGCGCTGTGAACTTAAAAATATACGTGTCTCGGAAGCTGCTGTGATCCCAGACGGATAACAATGCTAGGAGCGAAGAACCTGCTATCCTTGGGAACGCAATGAAGGAAGACATTCAAGAGTCTGGTTCGGGTTTTTAGCCCCCGACTACAAGGCTGCGTCCGTTCTAACCGTTGAGTACTGTTTAGGTTGATATCCATCAACTTTGATCCCATTGGCTTGGTTCATGATATTGAGCTGATGCCTGATGATTATGATACGGATAACAGCTTGAAGCATCACATGAAGCGTCAGAAGCCGTCAGCGACCGAAATCCCCGTACACATATCATCCAAGCGAGGTCTGCCATTGATCTACGAGCACTGAGCGGAAGGCCATTAGGTCAGCTTTCATCTTACTATGTTTGTGCATCACTGCGGTATGGAGGACTACCCCAAGAGCTAATAGGAGAGGCTAAATGAGGGGTGAATCATTCATCTACGCCGCGATTAATTTGTGGTTGGCTGTCACCACGCGGCTTGATGGTAATGTTTTGATAAGAAACCTACGATGTCTTTAGAAATGTTAATTTACATTGTATTACGTACTAATGGATGTTTTCCCATTTTCTTTCTTTTTTTACTTAAACGAGCACTTGTCCTTTTGTTTAAGATTCGTTACTTCTATTAAAATACTACTATTTAATTTCATATTATCTGATACGATGTTATGTAAACTTCTTTTTAAAAAATGACAAACAGATAACAACAAACATTCTCTCCACGGTCCGTGTGCATAACGCACCCGTGGTAAATATGTAAGCGCCCATCTCTGGCACTAGCCTAGCCAGTAGGTAGCCACTTCCTCTGGAATGAAATTATTCCATCAATCTCGTCACTTAGAAAGATATCGTAGCATCAGACTAGAAAAAAAAATATACGAACCATTTACTGAACGGAGCCGCGACATGCAATAGAGAATGGTTGTTTTTTCAGGTAAATTTATCATTTTAATTAAAGCTTCAGGAATACTAGTAATAATAGTTTATTGTATAGAGACTGAATGTCGAAGCTGCTTGGTCAGTGTCCAGCAATCGCTGGAAACCTGGTTCCGACTTTTATGAAATGTAAATGCGTAGGTATATACTGCATATCGTATGTGTACATGCTTGTAACACTTTCTTGCAAACAATCTAACATGCCTGTTGAATCGGGCGGATAAAATAAAATGCACATTTGTAAGGGTTCGAAACAGCATGTAGTTAAAACATTTTGGGAACATAAAGATACAGAGATAGATGCAGTTATTTGCTATCATTCGATGATTTTAAGCTTGCAAGCACATTCGGCTTTTATCTGCCTATTTTCGTTTGCAGTTTTTAGTCACAAAAAACATGTTGGAGCCACAGACTAGATGAAGGTGGAGTCATTCAGCTCTTTCCCCAATGTATTGCATTTCGCTGAACTGAACATCAATCAAACTTTCCAATCATTGAGCTCCGTTTGACGTTACATCTCGTCATCCATCTTTAAATTATCAAGAAAATGATCGACACAATAACGATCAGCTTCGCCATCAAAAAGACATCAAGACTGAGCCTGAGCCGGAAATTGCACCACGGACACTGCCAGCCGTTTCCATTGTTATAAAAACTAGATTACCCCCGCCCGACTTATCATAGTGTCACCACCGCCGCGGCAGCCTCCGGAGCTCTGTTTCCTCCTCTGCTCTACCCTAGCCCCAAGATACCCAGGCTCGGCAATCCCCAGAACGGCGCGGGGGGCAGAGGGTGGGAGGAATGACTTTCACTCGTTCGGCCGCACTCTGTCCTTCACTGGAAGCGGGCACAGCGTCCCCGACGGGATTCCAACCAGGCACGGGGGCTATTGGGCTGAGAGGAGTGGTGATGACTGGGTCTCTAGATGCCGCCCCGCGGTATTAGCCTCATATGTGAGAAAGACGTGATCGTTTAGAGAATGAGACCGCCAGGGATTTGGGTTGTTGTGTTGGTTAACCAACTGTCCGACGTCCGTCGCAGTCTGTGTCAATGTAACTCATAAAGGCGCCGAAATAGTAACAAGCTCACTGATCAGCGCGGGTGTGGACAATTAACTCTGAATAGTTTACACTATACAGATTGGACAGATCATTGGAACCAAAGCTGACTTTCCAGGAGGCCAAATGTAATTCCGCATCTGCATAACTTGGCACAGAAATTGATGCGTATGGGCCGACATGTGCTTAGCTTACGTTTATCTGGTGTTCTCAAATCAACATACGTCGGTTCAGTTCAAAGATAATTTAACGCAACAACAACCCACAGCTAGCTCGCAGAAGCAATTACATGCTTGTTCAATCCAAATTACCTCACAGCACAGGCAACAGCAAACAATCCGCCCATTGAACTCCCCATCACCACGAGCCGCGGCACAGCCACTGTAAACTGCACTGACCTGGAGACCTCCACCTGACCTTGACCCTTGACCTTGTGACCTGTCACTTACCCTGCGGCTGTCCACAGGCCGCGGCGAGCAGCACCGCTGACACCAGCACCAGCCGCATGGTCGCACCACCTCACCAGCTGGCGGTCGCTCTCACCACTACTGGTGCCGCTGCTCCCGATCGGCCCACAAGGCCGTGCCGCTCCCACCGCAAGGCAATCCAGCACTAGCGGTTAGTGACGTCATCCACACACCTGACTGACCCTACCGGTCTGCTGTGCGGCCGCGGTGACGTCATAAGCACAGTGGGGAGGGGTAGAGTGGGGGAGAGAGAGAGAATGAGAGAGAGAGAGAAAGAGAGAAAGAGAGAGAGAGAGAGAGAGCGAGAGAGAGAGAGAGAGAGCGAGAGAGAGAGCGAGAGAGAGAGAGAGAGCGAGAGTGAGAGAGAGAGAGAGAGAGAGAGAAGAGAGAGAGAGAGAGAGAGAGAGAGAGAGAGAGAGAGGGAGAGAGAGAGAGAGAGAAGGAAGTTGCAGCTACAGTGCTGCACTTGAATTGTTTTGCTCAGAGCCGTGGAATTTTGACTACGGAAATGCGGATGAAGATTGCAGAATAGGGCAAACCTTTCATGTTTGAGCTTCAGCGCAATAACAGGTTTAATTGAAATAAATAACAGGGTATTTCACATACCATCCAACAATGGAATTTCGAAATAAGGATAAATCTGACACTACCCGGGTAATGGTTGTGGAAAATGAAAAAGGCAAGAAAATAAGCTGCCTGTGCTCCATTTCTATGTTTTTTTTTTTGTTACCATGATGTAGTGAAGCGTCACACTCATGCATTATATTTTGCAGCTGCCTTCCCTCGCAGTAGGTATCTTTAGGTATGTAGGTAACTGACCGATAGCTAAAAATTGGACTCTTACCTGTCAAATGGCTCAAAAATCATGTTTATTCAGAGCCACTCTCGCGTCTTGTGACCTCTTCAGTTCCAGTCGCTGCTTCAGCCTTCAGCTAAGGTTTTATTTTCTGAGTTTCGAGCATTGACTGCTGCTTACATTTGCGACGGCCCCATTCTTCTTCACCTTCCCTTTTGGAATCAAATAGGACAGAAACTGCCCTCCTCAACTGGGTGAGCTGCGATTGTCGACATCACATGAAGGCGTGGGTGAAGAATACGCCAGTGACTTCGATTATTTTCCTTCTTAAAACGCAAATGCTGTTTCAAAGGTCGTAACTAATAGAAATTCAGATGAGCATACTGAAACAGACTAACCCATCTAATAGAACTGTAGCCTCAAAGTAATCAGATTACATGCTTGAGTAAAAGCAAACTGAATCAACAATGTCGCTTCATGCCTGACTCAGCATAAATTGTCATATGAATGGTACCGTGGCAATGCCTCAGAACCCTGCAAATATGGCATACAATGTATAAGCAAGAATACCCCTAGATTTGCACAGTAGGACATTGGGTCTCTACTGAACACCAATTGTTTTATTTGCATTTTTGTTCCTCTATAACAGTCATAATTCAGATTCCTCTGCATCAAATTTCCAGTACCTCCTGCTACGACAATTTGACACACTGTGGCAAAACGGTAACAATTTCAAGTGGCTAGTAAAACTGTAAAAGGTCACCCGAGTAAACGTCGGCTACGTCTACTTCTACGAAGAAAGAGCAGACCGGTGTCTTACAAGCATTATTTCAAGTTTCGCAATTAGGGTGGTTGTTGACAACTGACTTCTCCTTAAAATGGGCAGGTATTTTCGGTCCGGCTTAGCACTCATACGTAAGTTTCCAGCATAGTGGTCGGGTAAAAGCTACCGAGTGATAACTTTGTAGCCTAGTGGTGTAGTCGATGTCAATAGAGAACTTTTTGCGAGTTAACCCGCGCCCCGTAGGGCTACCGGCGGACCCTTCCACCCGTAGGGGGGGGGGGGCCGTTTCGGCCCCCCCCTAAGATCTCGGAAAGTTACCGGCCGATTTTCAAAATTCAAACGGCGTTTGATAGCCCCACCCGGGAACTACCTTTTGACCAAATTTCATTGACCTAGGTCAAACCGATGACGTCACAGGTCAGGTCAAAGGTCAGATTTTCACCGTTCACAGGCATTTCAAGAAATGTGTTGTGAAATCGAGTTAATTGGTAATTTATTGAAAACCATCGATGGTACATTGTTCGTCAAACACATACTTTGCTATCTGAGGTCACTGATACCAGGTCAGGTCACAGCGAGGTCAGGTCACCGGGGTCACAATATGAAAGTGTCGTGTGATACATGTTTTATGGTCCATTTTACATGACAAATGCGATTATGTGAGTTAGGCAGCCTTTGGGGCCAGCCTAGGTCACGTTTTGGTGAAGGTCAGGTCAAGGTCAGGTCAAATAAGGTCAAATTTCAAAGTTGATATTTTTGCATAAAATGGGTATCGATTCGATGCAGCTCGTCACGGGGAGTCTAATGGTGGTCTTTGTTTTGCTCTACGAGGTCTAGAACTGCCAAAAATTGAGTTTGAAAATTTGACGTCATCAATTTTGAACAGTTTTTTCGCTATAACTTGGCCAAAAAACGAGGTATCGATCTGAAATTCGGTATGTAGATAGAAGACGTTAGGTAATATCACATATATTCCGTTTTTTTTTAAACTCAAAAAACTTTTTGGATTTTTTGGCTAACATATCCAAAAAAATGTTTTTTTGATTTTTGGGGTTCAAAATTCAAAAATTTCAAAAATCCGAGATAGCAGTTTTGTAGCCCTGGCAATTCCACACCTTTTATGTCTTGATCATTTTTCTGTATCTTCAAAGCTGTAGGCCTGACAGGTCTTCTCGCGAAGGTCTTTTTTCGGTCGAAAATGACAGAACATGACGTCATTCTGACGTCATTTGTGGCCAACCCATCATAGCCTCTGGAAAAATTTTTGGTCACAATGTGTAAAATTGATGCTCGGAGGGGTCCTGAAAGTTTGGTGGCGATATCTGAAGCGGTTTAGGAGATATCGACCGAAAAGGACAGGGGGGGGGGGCCGTTTCGGCCCCCCCCTACGGGGCGCGGGTTAACCCGCGCGGGGCTGGGGGGGGGGGTAAATTTTACCCCCCCTCGCGAATTTTTGCAATATCTCAAAAACGGCGGCGCGCAGCGCCGCCAAACATTCAGTACCTTTTCTTACATCAATTTGGCACCTTCCCTGTAAATTTGAGCGAAATCCGTGGGAAAATTTTTGAGAAATTGACGTTTTAGTGACGTCATGTTCGCCATTTTCGCCTTAAAAACGGCAAAAGTTCAAACGCCGCTAACATCTTCATTTTTCAAGGAATCAAGACGTAACAAAAAAGGATATACGTAATTTTACTTTGTCTATCAAATGGCTATCTCGGTTTTTTGAAAATTTTGGATTTTGGCCCAAATGTTTTCAAAAAACTGACTTTTTTGGGAAAATAGCTATAAAATCCAAAATTTTGAGTGTATCGAAAAAACCGGAATATATGTCAGAGAAGTGGTCTATGTGCACCTACATACCAAGTTTTAGAAGAATCGGTTAAAACATGTGGGAGTTATTCAAAATTGTATGACGTCACGACACACAAAAATTTAGAAAAATGACTTTTTTGGAAGTTCTAGACCTCGTACGGAAACAAAAATAGCACCATTCGATTCGCCGTGAAAAACTGCATCAGATAGACACCTTTTTAGGCCTTAACAACCAACTTCAAAATTTGACCTCACTTGACCTGACCTTGACCTGACCTCGACCTGAAATTCATCCAGAGGTGGTCCATATCACTTATTGAGTGTGCCTATTGAATTCTATGAGTAAAATGACCCATAAAACATGTGTCGCACATGCCCTTTTCTATATTTTGTTTTTGGTGACCTGACCTGACCTGACCTGACCTTGACCTTGACCTCTGAATGATATTGTATGCAACGAATATTGTCTTGGTAGCCTAAAAACACGTTTTGGGCGATCAGTCTCAGTCCATGACTCCATTCTTCGGCAACTACGGTGCAAGGCCGATACTGTAGGAACTTGCAATTTGTACCCTTGACCTGACCTTGACCTTGACCTCAAACTTAAAATTAAGTACATGTTTTTAGTTGTTCGTGATGAGATCTTTCGATTGGCGTTTGAATTTTCCAAATCGGACCATTAGTTCGGGAGATAACAGGGGGGGGTAAAATTTACCCCCCCCCCCAGCCCCGCGCGTTCGGCTGGAGACCCCAGCCCCGCGCGGGTTAAGGTTCGCACCTCAAGCGGATATTGCGGGCTCGCAAAACATTCTTTTCAATCGCCAACAGTTGGCATGCGGCTGAAGACGCTTTTCAACCCAGAGTGGAAATGTGGAGTGTTTTTAAGCTTTAAGAGTATGTATTTGCCAGGGAGCTTATTTGCAGATGCATGCTGGAGCGAACATCTGGATGCTATTGCTGTTGGTATTATTGCGCCGACCACACGCTGGAAGTTTTTCATAAGGCTCCGGAGAGAAGGTAAGAAGATACCAAATCAATGCATAGCCCAGTGCACAGGCACAACCGTTGTAACCCAATGAAGACAGCATCACGTTTTCAAAATCACATTTTTCGGTTTTAAACATCTTTGCGGGGGTCCCTCAGCCCATATTCTACCCTTTTGTTGGCTAGATGATATTTCACCCGGCTGAAGCTGTTACCAGTGGATTTAAGATGCAGCTGAACGTATGTAAATCCGTGTGGTCTGTATGCCTGCATTGATCAGAATGGAACTGGCAAGAGTTACTTCAGGCATCTATTCGTAGCACCTCCTGCACCCCCCCCCCCCGCGTCCGTTCCAGTGGAGAACACTGAGCCTTACCTCCGGAACACTGTGAAGTAATCAGCACCACGCCACGCCCCCCCCCCCCCCCACCCAGCCTGATCTCTATCCAGTGGTATACGACACGCGGACATCTGATCCCGTTCAGGGACCATGCGTCATTTGAGCCGAGTAAGTCGGTGCCCGAGACACCGCAGGCACCGCCGGCAGCATATGCATAGTTTACTCGCCTCAGAAACCTGACACCGAAGTGTTTCGTGCAGCATGATTTCATGATAATGTGATTGTAATGGTATTTTGGCCTATAGGGCCTTGCTTGTAATGTTTCAATAATATATGTACATGTATAAAAGCGTCTTAAAAACAGAAGGATAGCAGGTTTAAAAACAAACATGGAAACTGGAAAGCTTCGTGCATTTTGGGATTATTTTCATGAAGGCGTGATCATGCACGATGAGGCTAAAACCATCCTGGGTGAATCAAGCAAACATACCATTCTTTCGGACTTCTTATAAGAGAAAGAACAGAAAACTATATGCCGTCATCCGAGAATACGCAAAAAAAAAGTTAAGCAAAATAGCGTTCGCCTCATCGGGTAAAGCATTACGAATCTGCTGTCGGCCTATCTGGCATGCGCCAACTGCGAGAGCAGCAGCCATGCGCCCGGCGCGGGGCGCCGCACGCCGCGCCGAGTGCGTGAGCCGCTATCAGCACTGGTAAACAGCGGAACGCCGCAGTCCGCCGACGCGTCGGCTGCCCGAGCAGATAGTGTCGGTGGCAGCGGCGGCGGCGGCGGCGGCGGCGGCACCTGACCGGACAGAGCTGCAGCGGCCGCCGGTCGGCCGGGCCGGGCGCGCGACCCCAGTCGATCTGAGGCAGCAGAGGTCGGCTGATAGCGCTCCGCTCGGGGCAGACCGACGGCGGCGACAGATTGGACAGAGAGACGAGCGCCGGAGGACGCTGAGCGGTGTCAGTGCGCGCCGAGTGTGCGAGTGTGGAGTGTGGAGTGAGTGGTGGAGTGGGAGTGTTTGAGTGACCGGGAGCGCAGTGGTCAGGGACGTTGAGTGTGGTCAGTGTCGTTGAGAGTGGACAGTGTGACATGGACTTAGGAGAGCAGACACTTGAGATGAGCGCAAGAAGCAACGCCGTGAGGTAGGTTCATTGATAGGTGATCGGCTTGAAGCAGGCAGAAATACTTGAGTGGACTCGCTGTAACACCTGCAACTTTTTCGAGAATGTGATGTAATCAACTGAGACCATGCGTCACCGCCAGATTTATGACACGTTTAAATTTCCTCAACGAGTGAATGTGCTGTTTCATGCTTGGCATTGACAAAAAAAAGAAACGATTCGAATCGGTTGAGTTGAGTAACAAGTTCGAGTTTACCTATGCTTTCTTTGGTCTGGGATTTATGTCTGCTTTGCAAGGAATTTGCCCTTTGCAGCTTTGCATCGTCCGATTTCAAAGTCATCTACCATTACCATCATTACAGTAAGCATGTGGTGAACATTGGTGAATCGTATACCTACCTGAATGCCTAGCCCACAACGCCTTAAAGGGAGATAATGAGCTTTCTTTTTTCTTAAATAAAAATTACTCGACATCTATACTATTTCTACTGAAGTTCCCATAAAATATGAAAATTTCCTAGCATATTTTCGTATGTGAAAAAGGTTTTTATTTTTGCAAAAAAGAAGCAGTACTTGCAGTACTTGTAACACCCACCGAAATGCGTTGTCCTTCTCTATAAAAAAGTCGCAGTATATGGCGCTTTTGTTTCAAACAGCGACGCTTGG